GTGGTGTAACCTGGTACCTCCAAGAGTTAGGATGTTTTGTTGAAAGGCAGTTCTTAACAGGATTAACACTTGTGACTTGTTGCCAAAAAAGGAGACCAAATTGGTGTCTTTCCCCAAGGACTTGTGTTCTTTGTTTTGCCTGTGAAGAGTCAGCAACCCACGTTTTAATCTCTTGTTCTTTTGTTTCAAGTATTTGGGAATGGTTTTCTAATCTCTTGGTTGTAGTTGGGCATCTCCTTCTTCAGTTGCAGACCTCTTTGATGCTAACTTTCTCAGACAGCCAAAGAAAAAGGGCGAAACTTTATGGAGAGCTACAAGGGCAGCAATAGTTTGGGCAATTTGGGAAGAAAGAAATAATCGTATGTTTCAGGATAAGGAGAAGAGGAAGGAGGAATTAATTGATAACACTTCATTCCGGGTTGCATATTGGGTAAAAATGTTGGATCTGTTCAAGAATGTTTCCGTTAATGATATCATTAGAAGCTGGAATGCAGTGGTGACTTCCTCAAAATCAAGGGCTGTGTTTCAGGAGGTTTGGGCACCATCAACAGGTCAAAGATTGAAGCTGAAATTTGATGGGAGCTCTTTTGGTAACCCGGGTCCGTCTGGCATTAGTGGAGCAATAAGAGATGGAGTGGGGAGATGGTGGCTTTATATTCAGGGCTGATAGGAGAAGATGACTCCCTAAGAGCTGAAGTTCTAGCTCTCCTACAAGGACTGAGATTGGCAAAACAGCTGGGCTTTCAACGCATCAATGTGGAAGGGATTCAAAACTGGTGATAGGGTGGTTACAAACAGGTAGCTTGGGAATATGGATTCACAGACAAGCTTTGAGGGAGATTAGATTTTTTTTATTAGTAATGAAGCATTTGTTTAAAATTAATCAAGATGCACTAACAATAGATACAGAAAATAGTTCCCCAAAGAGTTGCCGCCTCAAAAACGAAAGCAAAATTAAACTACCCAAACAGGGGACAAATAGGGGAGAGTTGTTTTGGGCTGAACTGTAAATTGAATCTTTTGGGTGGTTAGTCTTCGTTATTATGGGGACTGGACCCATGTATTCTGTTAACCTTTTTTAATGAAAGTTACTGTTTCCTATCAAAAAAATCAATAACTTTCCTACCAAGGTATGCCATGTTAGAGGGAAAAAACAGTATGGCATCTTTCCTGTATTCAAAGTGACTAGATCTAGGGATGCCAACAGGTAATATCTGTGTCTTATTTATGTATACAGGTACGAGAATCACATTATGTGCAATGAGTCAGATCCGAGCAGGCTCTTCCCTGGGCCTACCGCCCTTTGTTCTAGACCAACTTTATAAGTACCTAATATCCAATTAAGGAGCCAACAAGTACTTTTCTTGGGGTAAACACCCTTGACTGGGTGGTGACAATGTGTTCTCTTAATATGTCTAATGAAAGTTACCGTTTCTGATCAAAAAAAAAAATTAAGGAGCCAACAAGTATCTACTTGATCATGGTTCTAGATTCAACTAATTTTCCCTTACACCTTAAAGTTCGTGGTTACGATATTATCAATACCCCCCCTAGAACATTTATCTTATTTTTTATCTTAAATGTGAATTAATAAATTAAATCTATCACTTCATATGCAAAACCTTGATGAAAGAATCAACAGGAAAATTGGTGTTGGGTGTTCTGCAACTTTATTTCTATCTTAGAATCTAACTAGATAAACCCTGCATTCCTAACCTGTCATGTTTCTATTTCATGTTGGTACTTGCAGCATTATAGTTGCATCATCTGAGTTCTTGTCTTGCTTTAAGAAACAAAATGGATAGAGTTACAAAGCTACAGTGCTCTAATCTCGTATTTTTCTATTTTTAGGATCCTAATTTGAGTCTATAATTACTGCAAAACTTTTATTCCATTACTTCCCTCTGGAAATTCAATATTTCAATTATAATGGCCATATTTATAGAATCACTACAAGGGGTTGGATCTCTCTTTACAAACTCCAATTTCATTTAGGAAAATTACCAGAAACAACTTTTTTTCTTTTCTTTAAAGGATAATGTATATGATGCATTAACAAAAGAATGAAAATACAGGAGCTCCATGTACAGCAAGGAGCCATGCACTGGGAATATACAAAAAGATCATGATCTGTCCCCCCCCTATTACAAAAAATACAAACAGAAAAAGTGTTAAAGGTCATCCCTTGAACAGTTTATGGACTCTCAACCAGGAGAGCATCATAGCCTCCGAGTTACATACTCACTTATCTTTATATTCACTTACTGTTATCAAAAACACGAGATTTTCTTTCAGACTAAATAATCCAGAACATAGAAAATGGAACAATACTCCAAACTACCAACCCTTTTTTGTTCAAGCCCCAGAGCTGCCAGCTATAAAGTCTTCCATCAATTATGGGCACCAGCAATGAATACCGAAGATGCCATTCACACAGGACCACAGCTTCTCTGAGACTTTAAAGTGAAGAAACAAGTGGTTTACAGATTCAGGATAGTCATTGCAAAGCCCACATAAATCACTATTTAATTTTAGCCCCATACCCTTTTTTAGCAAGTTGTCATGTTTTTCACCAGACATGTATTAAGGATGGTTGTCCAAACCAAAAAAAAAAACACCTTAGAAGGAACAGTGAGTTCCAATTTTTTCCTGCAGGGAATTTATTAGAAGTAGGGGAGTGCAGCCTGTTGTAAAAAAATTTGACAGAAAAGGAACTGGTACTCTCCCATCTCCACAATCTCCTGTCTACTTGGGTGGGATTGATCACTACACTCAGCTTTTGAAATCAGTCTATCAAGGGGGCAATCTCCCAATCATTCAAATGACACCTGAACTTTCTCAGTTCAAACCATTACCTATAAACAGTTTAAACAATTCACCAGTTTAACCAAGCCAATAGTTTTTTTACCAAGTCAACAGGTTTTTGAACCCTACCGGGTTTGGGATAAAACAGACCCATTATTGTCTCCAAGTGACAAGTCGGCCAGTCCAACATCCAGGTCAATGATGGGTTGCAAACATTACCATATTAAACCCCCAATCTGAATGACCTGTTCATACTGTGTCTTAATGTTTGCTCCTGTCTAACTAAAAATCTGTACCTCCATTTCATGCCCTTTTCTTGCCTAATGAGTAATGACTCTCATCCAACTTAAGAGAACTTGGCAATCCCCTTCAAGGATGGTTTCTACCCACCACAATATTAGCTTCAAGCCTTTTATTAGTGTCAGAATTTCAGCCACCAAAGAGTAGTTGTAACCAAGTAGGCCTGAAAATCCAAGAAGAATAAATTTGTTTATGGATAACTTCAAATTTTTTATTGAAATTGGATAAAAGAATTAGTATGCAAAATATGCTCAGCATCCCATTTACAAATAAGCTGGCCACATCCCCCTAAACCCAAATCTTTGTTTTTAAACTCATTCTATATTTATTAATCCCTAGAACAGTTGTTCCCTATGTACTCCTTGTTCGGCTGAAGTGTCAGCCAACCCATTGGCTGATCTTTACACCCATGTTAATGTGATATTTTTCTCCCTTGTTAAACACTTGGTTTCCTTTTAAGATTTTCCAAATTGCTAATACTGACATTATTCTTGCCCTTGTTCTCTTAGCCAACTCACCACAACTCTCGAGTCACCTTCCCCTTGTCTACTTTGAGATCTAGGATGGTAAGCCACCCCTATTTGCCAAAGCCCAACAGTTAATTCTTACCATTGAAATATCAAAAAAGGAGCTGATATCCATTTATTTGTCTTTAAAAATCCTTCATTCTTTTCTCCACATACGGAAGCTCTAGTAAAATCTTTTTTCTCTTTTCTATATGGTACGGTAACAAATTGGTAGAGAAAAGATCTGTAGCGTTGGTTGGTACAGTCCAAACTCCACCAAGGAGAAGAAAGAAGTAGTTCCGTACCTAGAAGCATACGGGCAGAACGTAAGGAGATGGTTAGTACTCTATCCACTCTTAAGACAAAGAACACGCATACAAAGATACAGGCACAAGTCTTTTGTTTCCTCTAAAGCCAGTCAATCGTATTGATGGCTGTGTGGCAGATTCTCAATAGAAGAGTTCTGCTTTTGGAGGAGGATCAATCCACATGGCCTTTGTCGGATCATCATAATTTATTGCGATGCGCATGCAACAACTCACTTAACATGTATCCCTTTGTTGGAATGTAAAAACACATGTATATCTTATATATCTATACGATCACCTAGGCATCTTAGTATATCCATAAATACAAATATCTTAGTAGAGGCAAATAAGTAATTATGCCTGCTTTTACATATTGATAGGTGTGTGCAAAAAATCACTTAACAAGTAATTGTGCCCCTTTTTATTGCAATGCATGCAACAACTCACTTATCACATATCCCCTTGTTGGAATGCAAAAATGCATATTGTATCTTATATATCTATACAATCACCTAGGCATAATATAAATACAAACATCTTAGTGGAGGCAAATAAGCAATTATGACCCCTTTCACATATTGATAGGCATGTGCAACCCATTTTGGGTCATTATAAGCGCATGGAGGACTAAAAGGTAGGGTTCTTAATCCTTTTTTGTATCTTTACGAGGTTATTCAAAAAACTTGTCTTTTCTTTTGAAAATCAAGTGTAAACTGCCATTGTTTACAAAATTATTTTGTGGTTTACCAAGTTTATAATTAACATGTAATTATATAATACTTGTACATAATAATACATTATTATAAAATACGTAAATATTTGTTTATTGTTGTCGCCTAAGCAACATCTAGTTGTTGCCCATAGGTGTTACCTGGATGCCTTTAAGTACACCATGTCGTTCATGTACAAAATGCATATAGATTTTTAATAGTAGATTCAGTTAAAAGGAATAAAGAAAAAAGTAATATTAGCATGAGAAAGGTAACAATTTTTGGATTCCTAAGAACATTTGACCGGAAAAGAAAAAGACTACTAAGAACATGATTTGAAAATCTAAAGAAAAGAAAAGTAATAAATATACCTCCCATCAGGTTGTTGAAGGTTTTTCATTGAAATCAAAATTGAATCCGGGTCAATACTTGACAAGTTGTAGCCAACAATCTTAAGTATAGCTAGAGCACAATAAGTGCTTGCCAAGTGGCTATTGTTGTGAATCAAGACCTAATGTAAGATCAAATGACAAAAATTGTTGTATGCAAAAAAGATATGAAAATCGTATACCAGGTTATATGTTGAAAAATGACACACTTCAAAAGTTGTGGTCTTACATTGCTAGAATCTGGAGGAAACATAGAAGTTCTGGAACCATGAAACCCATAAAATTGACCTGGAGTAAAATGAAAACTCATTGAAATCTCACACATAAAGTAGTGAAATGCAGTGGAATTTCATTATATGAGCAGTTTCTGACAATGCAGGTCAATACCATTTTCTAGATCAGCTTTACTTTTTGGACGAGCTTGAAAAGATAAAACCCAATTGGCGATTTCCTCCTTGTCAACCTAAGCCATAAATAGTATCAAACCTTAGAATCCCAAAGGAAGAAAGCCAATATCATACATCTACAAATATATGGTAACTTGTCACAAAGAAAAAGTTGAAGTGATTTAAAAGGCGTGCCTAGGCACACAGGGGAGGCGCATTTTAGGTTATGTGACTCACCTAGGTCCCAAGTGCAACACTTTCAAAAGGTGATGGCGCTTGGTGTGCCCTGTGCGCCTTGCACTTCAGCCCAGGAGTGTGCCTTTTGAAAGACACTTAAAGTTATAAAAACTTTTTATAGGGATTAAGAATTTAAGACCCTAATATTGACTTGTTTGGGCTTGCCTCAAGGGGCTTGGTACAAAGGTGGCTTGTAGAATCAGGAATGCATAATGTTTAACATCACATTAGCTATTTAAAGTAATGCAATTGGGAAAAAAATAAAGAGATTAAGAGTTTACATGCCTGAATATGTAATTATATGTTATGTTTGATTTTATTTTTAAATATATTTTACATGTTATGTTTATGTATTTTAAGTTGAAATAATAGGTTTTTAAAGTATTTATTTTAAAAATTAAGTTTATATTTTTTATTAATATTTTTAAAACTTTGCATTTTTTAAATTTTTTGGAATTTTTTTACCATTTTTTGCACCTTGCTTCAAAAAAGGCATGCATCTCACCCTCAGGTGCAAAATGGCCATTGCGCTTTTAAAACACTGGTATTTCATTTGAATGCAAGAAGGGATGGAAACGTCGGGTGGAGGAAACCTCTCTTCCTTTTTCTTTTTCAGTGGTGTCTCATTTTTATATTCGGTGTCTTCTCAGTTAAGGGATATCACATTAGGACATGTGTAACGGTTAGACAACTACAATGAGGGAAACAAAGTTATAACATGGAATACCGGCATAAAGCCCCTCTGAAAAACAGTCATCGGTCGAGTTTGCTCCCCTATGTGGATGGGAGACCAAACTAAAGCCACCTGAGAACCAGCAAAGACCCAGAATATGAGAAACATAAATTGTGCATCTGGGCAAAGAGCCCCATGATTCGTCATCTGTGAACATTTTAGGAAACGACCATCCATGGAAGACAAAAAGCTAGAGGAAATTCACATTGCTTCTTGCATGGACTGCGCACTCTTTAGTCCTTTATGGTACAAACATCTATCAACCCTCAATACAGCTAGAGGGAGGAAAACCAAAACATAATACATTAATACGAACACAGACAGCCTATAAGCAACCATTGACACTGTATATCCCATCCAGAGAAAGCATACAGGTTCCAGACTATGGACTGCCCCAAACGCAAACAAGATGATCCAACTTCTAACGAGTAAAAAAAAACACAGAAAGTAGGGGGAAAAAGTAGAAAAAAAAAATGTCTTTTATGATGAACTCCAGGTACCGTAATTGAACATTCAATTTTTACCTAGTACCTACCTATCAAATACTCTCAGCTTTTCCC